GAGAGTCTGCGTCTTTGTTTGCCTTCACCTTCACTTTCCAGTGGACTATCATGTTGGTCTCTGCTCCCCACCCCACCTCCCCAGATGTGACATATTTCACATCATCATTTGGCACACCTCACTGTAAGTATACTGCTTCCTTGTGGCACTCACAGCATCATTATCAATACCTGACGATGACAGAGTGCCAAAATACTGTAAGTTGGTGGAACTAGTTCTGATTTGGAGTGCTATAAAGGGAATGAAAGTGTTCATCCAAGTATTGTCTAAGGTAAGAAGTATCTACTTCAAATAGTTGAAGGTGATTTGGCAGGCCCAGAGTCAGCTCATGAGGTTTGACATGGCCACAGGACCGATCATTTTCCCACTCCCACTTATATTATTATGAGATGATGGATCTTTAGCTCGATGAATCATACCTGGTTGTTTCAGCAACACATTCTGATAGCAACAGATATACGGCAAGCACCGTGGTCCTCACTGGGCAAAATGAGCACTTTAGGAGGGGGAAGCTCTAGCGCAGAGTGTATGGGGATAATCTGTTAGTGAGCTCTATGGGGAGCTGGGCTACTCCGCATGTTCCCAACCAGTAGAGTGAGAGTGTCAAGACGTCATCATAAACTATACTGAGGATGAACACGTAGAAAACCCTGGGTCTCCAGTCAGGCATGCCAAACTTGGGATAAAGTGATGAGTCAGACCGCTCAATCTCTGCAAATATTTCCCTTGCTGCTACGCTCCATTTTGTTTGACAGCACTACGTGTGTTTGTGCTCTCTGATGCATGCTTTCATGACTGCGCGCGCGCGTGTGTGTGTGTGTGAAGTACATGTATGAATGCATTGGGTGTGTGTTCTCCGCAGTACTGCCTCGCACTGCATCTACAGGAAGCTTCACTGTCATCAGCATCGTCGTCTTCATCATTATTATTTACTTTTTTCACCCGTGACCGACCATGTTTTGGGTCTGGGGAAATCTGTGAAAGGGTTGTCCAAAAATGACAGGTGTTCTGTTCAGCCCATGGGGGAAATGACGGGAGGGGGTGCTGCTGGTGATGACAAGCTTGGTAGGTTCCTTGACTGGCTACAGGATATCATGCCAAAATGGCACGATATCCTGACAATGTTGTGCATGTGATACATTTGCCGGTGCCCATTGTATGGCGGCCATTGCTTGAAATACCTTCCATTTAGCAGCTCGCGCTTCACTATGGCAATGAACAGGTAATCTTGATGGTGCGGTGTGATGTAAACTACTGGTGACGTCATGGACAGCGATTCTCTGAGGGTTCCGGCAGTAAACGCCAATAAGCCATCGTCATGCTGAGTATGAGTAGCGTTTTCTCAGTCACCTGATGAAGTGAGTATATGCATGAGTATGTGCAACGATCAAACTTGCAAATGACCATCTAGCGACAAACCTTTCAACCGTTCCAGTGATGAGGCCGCGTATGTATGTATAACTCATAATCACAAGGTGATCGTAGAGGCATTAATCAGCGAGAGAATTGTGAATGATGTCTCTGAATCCAACTCTGTAGTAGCCTGCTGGAAATGTATATTCGAGTACGCCGATGTGATACAGTGAAGCGATTTGTACAATAGCCTGCATCACGTCTATACTTCCACTTGCCTGGTTGAATACACGGTGTTCTTGTGCTGCATGGCCTATGTGAATGATGTAGTCACCAACTGATGAGATAGGCATAGATAGGCCTCATTCTAACATGGTAGGGTATTCCTGTTCACCTTAGTTATCTCTTGGCTATTCGATTTAGCATTTTCCACCAGCTGAATATATTATTTGTTTTGCCCTGTTCCGTCTGCTTTTCCAGGGACAACGGCGGAGGAGGGGATCGGCTACCATAAACCCTAAGTATCCCTGTGCTGTTTGCTGCATGCATGCATCACTTCCTCTCCCCATTTCAACAGGCGGTTAGTTGTCATCACTTCTTTCACTCTCCTCCGCACCTTGACAGTTTCCACATACAGCTTGAAGTTTCGGTTTCAGTCTTCCACTCTTCACTGTCCCAGTATGCCATACATGACATTTTACCATGCCTGCTCCCGTGCTGAATAAATTTGCACCATGCTTTCAACCTGCACACCCCTGAATAAGATGTTTTCAATAGATTTCAAATTTTGCCAGGAAATGGAAATCCAGAGGGAAGCAATTCCGAGCACTTTGAGGAATTGGATTAAAGACCTATCTCCGCAACTAAATGGGAAGGGGAAGTGATTCAATACCTAGGCAATTTGTGCATGCTATCACACCATTCATGCACATTCATCAAATTTATGTATAGCTCTGCTGTTTAACAATTCTCTTTGTTGTGCTTCCCTCTAGTCCAGGGCCATCAAGATGCTCATCGCAAGTGGTCAAGGCGGCGGGCAGCGCTATCAAGTCTGTGGACATCGTCCGGAAGCGGTCTAAGTATCCCTGTGCTGTGCATGGTTTATCTAGTCATTGCGCAATCCTGCAGAGAATTGTTTGCCCCGTACGTATCCAGGACCCGCTTGCATGTCCAGGGCTGACTTTATGTGCAGTGCATGCCTTCTCCACCCCGGGGTAGCATTGCATGGCGAACCTGCATGCCTAACATTGTCTCTACAGATTTCTTATGCATTTGGTTGTGCATGCTTGATGTGATCCCTGGTGCATGTACTGGGTGGGCAGGTAGCTAGGAGACATGTAGTCGTAGTACAGGTTCATCCCGTGTTGTTTTCTGCTGTGTGATTCTCCTCCTCAGCCCAGGTCAAGCGCCGGCCGGCCGGGAGGACGTGATGATGGGCATCAGCACCGTGCAAGGTAATTACTATAATTGTCTTGTGCAATGAGTTGTGTACTGCACCAGTCTTTAGGTCAGGTTCCCTTCCAGTGAGATTTCGCTTCAGCGTTTAGTGTGCAACTGCGTCCTATGTGCATTGTCTCATGAAAAGGTAGTGGTTTTCATAGCCATTGGGGCTTGTTGCAATACCTGGCCATAATAACATTGAGGTTTGTTGCAATAGCTGGCCATAATAGAGCAGGGGCTCGACTCTTTCACTATTGGATCGGTCAGACCAATTGTTGGGCACGGAATTTCGACTCCTACTATAGCATGAAGTTCACAAATGTGTTTAATTGGCTATTAGGGTACAGTGTCGTAGGTGTGTACCGGTTGGTGAGACGGCTGTTTAGCCTCGAGGGCGATATACTTGTTGTTGCTGGTTCTGGTTGTGTTTGTCTCCGTTCCTCTATGCCTTCTGCACCCAGGCCGCGTTATGAAGCAAAGTCAAGGAACCGCCAAGCTTGTCATCACCAGCAGCCGGCCCCATCCTCGGGATTTATTATTTCCTCATGGGTCATGTGGGCTTGAACAGAACACCTGTCACCCTGGGAGGGGGAGGGGTTGTATTGTGCCACGTTTTGTCTGTTCATTCTATGCCGTTACTGTGCATTATGCTCTATGCTTTGCATATTGTCTGTTGTGCACTATGCCATGTAGCATGGTACTTGGATGGCTGTTGTCTGGTGTGCTCCGGAATGTGTGCCATCAGGATTGCCACTTGAAAACCCACAGCTCAATTCCACCAGGATTCAGCAGGAATTGTGCTTGGCGCTGAGCTGTGGTTTTCGCTGGTCATCCTGAAGGGTTTCATTCCACCTGGGTTTCTGATCTCAATGATCATCAGAATATTCATGGTCCATACCATGATTCATGTCATTTATTCATTGCAATCTCATACAACTCAGGAGGAGGGGGGGGGGGGCATGTATCATAATGTACCAGTACGGGAGACAGGCATGCATAAACTAGGATTAGATGAATCACGATGAATAATGCATGAAGGGGAGGGATCCCAGGAGCTCCAGTGTACAGCACACATCTTGCACGTGCTACATGTACGTCACCACCTGCGTGTACATGTAGATCACAGTCAATGGTCACCTAGTACCTGGGGGAGGGCCTACAGGGGGCTGGAATACCCCGGATTGCACGAAATACCCGATTCCTGTAATACCCATACTATACTGGCCATAGCCTTTTACGTGCACATACATGTACTAGTACATATACGGGTACATGTACATATGGGTACCGGGTGGCCGAATGGTGTTTTTCTGAAAAATAATGCCTTTCGGAGTGGAAAAATGGGACGCGATCATGCACAATCGAGTAAATAGTTTGACCATGACTTCGCAGCGCATGCTCGAGTCGAGACAAGATTTGAGGAACTAGTGGACTTGCGGATTTGTTTTGACATTGGTGGTTTTTGGATAGCTTGGTTCTCCCGCCGACGTGTCGTGGAGATGAAGACGCGGGACAGTAATCCGTCACCCACGACGCGGCCTCTCATTCTGCGTACTGGACGATTCAAGAAGCCGAGGAGGGGGACGCTTCGCAAGCTCAAACGATCGATCGAGTTCCTGAAAAACGAAGGGCGATCTCCGCCACTGGATAATCCGATTTGACTCCCGCGAAGAGGTCGTTCAGTGCCCCTCTTCACGGTCGACGAATCGTTCATCTCAGGTATCTGGCTGTGGGTTTGTCTGCGTGCCAGAATCCTGGATGTGGCAAACCTCTGGCGCTCATTGATTGCGTTGAAGAGAAGTAAAGAGGTACGACCTGGGCAGCGTACTTGTCATTCCGTGTCAGCAGTGTGGGATGGAGAATTTTATAGATACAGACTGATAGCCCTGTAACTGCTCCACACCCTGGCCCCCGTGCTTCCACAAGCAACACCAAAGCTGCTTTGGGTAAGTGTGTTTTCAATCTCATAAGCCATGATAAGGCCACCTAGAATTAATTCGTTGTTTCGGGTCACTTCACTCATCCCGGTACCAGGCGCGCAGGGTTGATCGGTCGGGTTTATTTTTTTATTTATTTTTTATTTTGGTTACTGCCATGTACATGTACAATTGTGCATAGTCGAATAGCTTTTGTCCATCAAGACAGTCGATCAAATCATGCCTGTAGACGATCCAGCGCAGTCATTGTCCCATCAGATCCAGGTCCCTTCCAGGACCAGACTGCTATGTATACGTCATACTTCATAATATGATGACTCCTCTTTTCTCTATCATACTGAGCATGCGTCATAACAACATGGTCTTTTGTCCGTCACTACTCTATGAACTGTTTGTGTGTCTGTGAGGTCCGACACAACAATGGCGACGAAGTTGGGATGAATTTGTTTTGGTCGTTTTACCTTACTGTGTATTTAGCTACTTACCTGTAGCTGTGCTATTTCTGCATCATGGCAAAGGCCACGATAGAGCCGTTCGACGGCGGAGACTTTGAGGAATACCAGGAAAGACTAAATTTTTTTTTCATTGCCAATGAAATTGGACAATTGGCGTCCAGTGCGTCAAACGCGGATAAGGTGAAAGCTGACAAGCGCATGACGGCTTACCTTATTTCTCTACTGTCGAAGACTGTTTACTCGACGTTGAAGACCCTGTGCTTGCCAAAAAACCCGACGGATTTCAAGTACTCCGAGATCGTTGACAAGCTGAAAGTACATTACAAGGTGAAAACCTCACGGACGACGGCGACACACAAGTTCCGTCAATGTGTTCAAGGGCCCTCGGAGAGTGTTACTGATTATTCTCATAAACTCCAGCGCTGTGCTGTAGAGTGCAAGTTCGGCGATCATTTGGACAGAGCTCTTTGTGATCAGTTTGTGGCTGGGCTGCGCGATCTAGACACACGCAAATTTATTTTGTCAAAGCCGGACGACGACGTAAAGTCATTTCAGAACGTATTTCAACTGGCGTTGACGGAGGAGACGGCAGGTCTGTTTGCTCGTACTCTACAGGCCAGTGGGAGCGCCAGGGACCAAGTCCAAGATGACGGAGTGCACGAGTTGCGGACGAGGCACTCGTCGGACAAGCACAAATTTCAGTCAAAGTCCAAGTCCAAAACACCCACTACTAAGTCTAAGGCATGTTATCGTTGTGGTGCCGCCAGCCATTTGGCCACTGCGTGTCAGCACAAAGACACTCGCTGCCGACACTGCCACAAGACTGGCCATCTGGAGCGGGTGTGTCTGTCCAAGAAACGCCAGCAAGATTGTCATCAACTCCAGGAGACGATCAGTTCTGATGATGGTGAGAGCGTTCCTATGTACCATGTATATACTGAATGTGTGAATGCTACTAGTACTACTAAATCGAATGCACCTCTGTACGTACCTGTGGAAATTAATGGTGTGACTGTAGAAATGGAGGTCGACACAGGCAGTGGTGTAACGATACTCACAGAGAAAGATTTTCAACAGTGCAATGGCGATTTGAATACATTGCAGAAATCTACAGTCATTCTCAGAGGATTTTCTGGTGCCGAAATTAAATGCATTGGGGAATTTCCAGTACCTGTCACGATTAACGGGAAAACTGAATCTGTTACTGTACGCGTTGTTGCAACTGAGGGTCCCTCCTTACTGGGTCGTGATTTACTTAAAGGGGCACTCCGGCTTCATTTTCGACGCCGAGTTTTCGATGCCAAGACGAAGGTAGGTGAAAGAGAAGACCCCTCGAACAAGAACGAGTCTCCAGAAGCGATCGAGTCGAGCAGGAAGACGACTTTTGAATTTCGCCGAGCAAGCGCTGATGACGTAATGAGGGATTAGCTTGCCAGTGGAAATGCATCTGCGCACATACATTTCACACACTTTTTGGCCAATTTTCAATCAAAGAGGAGGTTGTTTTCTATGTTCTCTCAACGTCGTGAGCGATCCCGTCTTCTATACCCTTCCAGGTACCCTGAAGGTCCTCCAGAGGAGAATTTATCTCCAGCAAAGCGTTGTTGATCCGCTAAATTCGTCTCGAGACATATTCAACCAGTGCAGTGCTGATAAATGTAGAATATTGAATCTGTGATAATTGTCGACGATCGAGAGAGAGGTTGATAGCCGCTGTCGCAGGGAAAGTGAAGCTGCTGGAAGTAACGACGGGGAGCCCGTTTGTATCACCTGAACAACCAGACTTCAAAGCAGCTTGACCAAATCGGAGGGTGCCTCGTTGCTTATCGTGAATATTACACCGACATGAATTACTACAATTACAAGTATACTGGTGAGTTTTTATCTTGTTCTGTTCGTATGCTAGTACCCTGGCCTGGAGTTCTCGTTAGCAAATTCCAATTCCCTGGCGCTTTCTAAACATTCCGTGTAGTACTGAATACGTGATCAAGGATATGCATTTTATAAAAAAATTCTATTTTCCAAATAGAGCGTTTGTAGAGAAATGGTTGCCCAAATACAACAAAATTGATTCTGCAGTTCTACAACTTGTACTGAAATCCAGTCGAAGTAAAAATGATTCTTCATGACAGTTGGGGTCAATGAAATCTGATCCAGGCATAACGAATAGTGACGCCTGTGACCCCGGGAACGAATGCCCATTTGGTGGGGGATACCAAAGTACTCGAAAGTGGTGCGTGTTTCAATGTGGCATTTGGAAGTTATATATGATCTCTGGTCAATGCAACATACGATAGCCATCATGAATTGCAGGCCTCGAACGCAACTCGGACCAGAATTGGCAGTTCCCTAAGTTAGATGCTTTATAATTCCATGGCCCTAGCTGTAGTTATAGAGGTTTTTTGCACATTATTCTTATAGTCGATAGGTTTATACTGATGGCTACAAACAACGGCAGTTCAAACTTCACTGATGTGTTTATGAGCTGAGAGATTTCTCTCCACTATTTCTGTTGTGCACACAGGTCTGTCCAATATGCATTGACCGTATTGGGCATGGTATCTGCTCTGAGAAGGGAATCGCTGGAGCCACAGTCCAACTGGACAGGCTTTCAAGAAACAGAGAGGAGCCATCTTTGCAAGCTGATACCTGATGTGTACCGGCAGAATTCTCACGAGATACCTTACGGACTACGTCTGGTGTATACTTCATAGTACTCCTTCGACTACTGTCTAGAATAAAGTCGACTGAAACAAGTTCAAACAACTCTGGCTTCAAACGAGCCGTCGATTAGACAAACAAAACATTCTCTCATAATACTAGAGCACTCTGACAACTCCCGACCTATTCCTAACGATTGCCACCGCTTATAAATATGTAGAGTGCTGATTGGAATGTGCTCATAATCTCAACAATTCAGTGCTATAATTATTTGAACAATGTGTTAGAAATTATTCCACTTTTCCTTCCATGAATGTTGTATCCACATATAATCCACAGTGCTGCAAAGTTTCAGAGTTCTCAGGGTATCAAACAAAATTATTTCAAATACAGTGAAATTGTTCGTAGACATTATAGCGTAACTTGTAGTTCCCTGGTCCTTTTCTTTGCTATAAATTAATCCTTTGCTCTCTAGCCGCCGGCGAGTTCAACAGTGAAATTGTTAGTTCATATTTATAATGTGGGTATGTAGGAGGGGGGGGGGGGGGAGGGGGGTTGAACATATTTCTATATAAGGGACCTGCAACTGTAATACCACAGTATAGTAGCCGGCAAATATGTAGAAAACAGAAATGCATGTTCCCATCATTGTACATGGACTGGCGCAGCAGGCCGAAGCTATCAGCCAGAACAGGATTTACAATCACCTAGAGATACTTGAGCTATTCCAGTATTCTCCGTGAGCTGTCCCATTCCACAATGGTTCATGCCACCATTATTTCTGGTAGTATCCATGTGCATAGTTCCAAGACCATCTCGGATTCTTCAGCAATTTGTGCCACGGCTCGGTCACTGGGGCTGTCAAACTTCCCATCACAAATGAACTTCAATTTCTCATCTGTTTCAAGTATATGTACTGCCATGACTTGACCATGCTTCATCCACAGCCATGGGCGAAAATTGTGGCGTTGAATTCCATAGCGCACCTTCCTGCTGCCATGCAGGAGTATGTTGAGAGAAGTGAACATATTTTTACTAAAAAACAACAGCCACTGAAGAGGATAGCAAATAGCCTTGGGTGAATTTCCCGCAGCTACACGTTGTTGGTAGGTCTACTGGTCCGTCTCCATATCGTCAAGTTCAGAAATCACCTGTACTACACTACACATCTTGTAGAAGGGATCCTGATCGAATAATTTTCTGGTCATAACATTCACTAAACTGAGGGCGAGACAAATAGTCAGTACTCCCCGATTCCGTCAATCTGCTTTGAAGTCTGGATGCTCATGTGATGCTAACAAGCTCCCCGTCGTTACTTCCAGCAGCTTCACTTTCCCTGCGACAGCGGCTATCAACCTCTCTCTCGATCGTCGACAATTATCACAGATTCAATATTCTACATTTATCAGCACTGCACTGGTTGAATATGTCTCGAGACGAATTTAGCGGATCAACAACGCTTTGCTGGAGATAAATTCTCCTCTGGAGGACCTTCAGGGTACCTGGAAGGGTATAGAAGACGGGATCGCTCACGACGTTGAGAGAACATAGAAAACAACCTCCTCTTCGATTGAAAATTGGCCAAAAAGTGTGTGAAATGTATGTGCGCAGATGCATTTCCACTGGCAAGCTAATCCCTCATTACGTCATCAGCGCTCGCTCGGCGAAATTCAAAAGTCGTCTTCCTGCTCGACTCGATCGCTTCTGGAGACTCGTTCTTGTTCGAGGGGTCTTCTCTTTCACCTACCTTCGTCTTGGCATCGAAAACTCGGCGTCGAAAATGAAGCCGGAGTGCCCCTTTAACGTGTTCACTCTTCCCTGGAAACAAATGTTAGCCGAGAAGGTCCATCGTACCCTGGGTACTGACCAATTTCAGAAAGAGTTCCCTGCACTATTCGATCACTCGACATTGGGAAAAATGAATGGCGTTCAGATACACTTGCATGTGGATGATGGGAAGCCAAGGTTTTGCAAACCTCGTTCGGTACCTTTTCATATTCGGGAACAGTATGAGGCTTCTCTTGACAAGCTCGAACGGGACGGTGTTATTCAGAAAGTTACGCACTCAGACTGGGCAGCTCCTACAGTGCCTGTGAGAAAACCTGATGGCTCCATCCGGGTATGTGGTGATTACTCCGTTACCATCAACAAATGCTCCAAAATGGATCACCACCCACTGCCAACACTAGACGAAATGCTTACCAAGCTATGTGGGGGTGAAAGGTTCACTAAACTGGATCTCTCCCAAGCATACCATCAGCTAGAGCTATCACCAGAATCCCGAGTCTATACTACTATCAACACACACCGTGGTTTGTACGAATTTACTAGATTACCGTTCGGAGTAAATTCAGCAGTTTCAATTTTCCAACGAACCATGGAAAATTTACTAGCGGGTCTTCCGGGTTGCGTCGTGTATATCGATGACATCCTTGTCACTGGGAAGACGGATGAGGAACACGCACAGAATTTGCGGCGAGTCTTACAACGACTTGAGGACGCTGGCATGAAATTGAAACACAGCAAAATTGAATTCATGTCGGATGTTGTGGTCTACTTGGGTCACAAAATATCAGCGCGTGGTGTACAACCTACAGATGAACGGATCGATGCATTGAAAAGCGCGAAACCACCCAAAGACGTAGCGGAATTGCAATCTTTCATTGGGTCTGCTAACTATCTACGGCGATTTATTCCACATTTTGCTGAGCAAATGGCACCACTCTATACTCTGTTAAAACGGGATACTAAATGGAACTGGGGTCCCACAGAACAACAGGCATTTGAACAGATACGCAATGCTATGAGTACCGATGCAATGCTCAGTCATTTCTCCATGACCAAGAATGTGGTTTTACAAGTCGATGCCTCAGGTTTCGGACTGGGCGCTGTGTTGCTACAAGAGGATGAGGATGGTTTCTTGCGTCCTGTAGCCTATGCTTCCCGGGTTCTTACCGCTCCGGAAAAGAATTACTCACAAATCGAACGTGAGGCTCTTGCTTTGGTTTTTGGTGCGAATAAGTTTCGACAATACCTATTGGGCAAATCGTTCACACTCAGAACGGATCATAAGCCGTTGCTCTCACTATTTGATCCACACAATGCAGTGCCTACGCTTACATCAACCCGTTTAAAGAAATGGCGTTTGGTGTTATCCGCTTACGATTACCGGCTTGAATTTGTCAAGGGAAAAGAGAACATTTTCGCTGATTACTTGTCACGTAAACCAACCATGAATGTACCATCAGTTGAGGAGAGTGTTACGGAGGAAATCCTACACTTTGAAACGGAGAATATTCTCACTGCAGATACAGTAGCTACGGAAACTAGAAAGGATCCTACTCTTACTCAGGTTATGCAATACGTAAAATTTGGGTGGCCTGTTAATGTTGATACCAAATTGCAACCTTACTACTCACGGCGATTTGAGCTTACTGTACAAAATGGTGTACTGATATGGGATTCTCGTGTGGTTATTCCGAATTCCTTACAACACCTTCTATTGCAGGATTTACACTCAGAGCACACCGGAATTGTGCGTATGAAGAGAATGGCTAGGCAATATGTATGGTGGCCTGGTCTGGATAGTCACATTGAGAATACCGTGAAATTATGCAGGCTTTGCCAGGAGAATGCCAAGAAGCCAGCAAAGGACCACGGTTCTTGGTCCTGGCCAGCTGGGCCATGGAAACGTCTACACTTGGATTTTGCGGGTCCATTTCTGGGTACTATGTTCCTTGTATTGGTGGACTCGTATTCCAAATATATTGATGTCGTACCAATGAAATCTGCAACTACTCAGGGTGTAATTACAATGTTACGTTCTAATTTTGCTATTTTTGGCTTGCCGGAGCATGTGGTCACAGATAATGGCAGCCAATTCACGAGCGCAGAATTCAAGTCATTCTTATCCAGTAATGGCATCGTGCATACGCTAACGGCACCTGGGCATCCTGCCACTAACGGTTTGGCCGAACGCTATGTGGGACATTTCAAATCTAAAGTCAAGCTCCTGACATCAGAGACTGATTTGTCCTCTGCCTTGTACCGGTTCTTACTCACTCATCGCACTACACCTACGGTGAGTGGCAAGTCACCTGCAACTCTACTAATGAATCGTCAGCCACGAACAAGGTACGATCTACTACATCCGACTACTGCAGCCGCTTTGGATCAGCAAGTGCGTTCATTTCAACAGAATTGCTCGAATACTCCCGAGTATAGTGTTGGTGATGCTGTCTATGCACTGAATTTCAGCAATTATGGGTCGAAGTGGGTACCAGGCGTCGTTCTCAGTATTGTCAGCCCCATGAATTACCGTATTCAGGTTGACGAAGTGGTGTGGAAACGCCATCGGAATCAATTACGGCCTCGTTCCATCCCGGGTGCAATGATTCCCAGTCTGCAACCTCCAGCTGAAGTGGTGGATTCATCGTCTGTGCCGACTCCGCCTATGTCGGTACCACCAGCTGTGACATCTACGCCGCCGGATGAAACACCGGCTCAGTCAACAGCACCTTCTACTCAGGCACCTATAACGCCCGATCTGTCGGCTGCGCCGGCTCCTCATAGTTTGCCGAAACAGCCTGAGCGTACACAGCCCCGTCGAAATGTTGGTAAACCGTTGCGTTATCGTAATGGCTAAGTGTACAGTACATGTGCTGACCAGTCGTGACTGATACCGAACACTTTTTGTAATGTGGATTATGGCCTGGTTTGTGAATACTGATTCTGGACTTTTGAGATCATTCTATTCGCATGTGCATGTATTTCCTTGTACCGGTCTCTGCATAGTCTATTCGCTGTGCATGACAATTACATTAATCTAGACAGTGCTCTGGGCACATGTGCATGTTTGTCCGCATAATTTATTTTCTATAATGCATTCTGTTATGAGCACTGTCCCAGTGTCAGCAAATATTGATTGCATGCCTTTGTACATATTTCTGCTTGCTGTGTTGCTCCATATACCTCCGCTTTGTGGGGGAGGATTGCTATGTATACGTCATACTTCATAATATGATGACTCCTCTTTTCTCTATCATACTGAGCATGCGTCATAACAACATGGTCTTTTGTCCGTCACTACTCTATGAACTGTTTGTGTGTCTGTGAGGTCCGACACAACACAGACCTTGGCCTCGCTGGCAAAGGAGTCTGAGAAGCAGCTCTCACCTTGCAAACGTCTGTCAAAGAGCGACGCGGTGGCGGAGCTGATGCTGTTTCAGGACCGATTGCGGATCGGAGATGTGCTATTATTAGGCGCGTGTGTACATGTACCGGTACATGTACATGTACGTACATAGTCTAGTCATGTACATTTGCATGCACAATAAAAAAAAACATTTTGCGGTCGGGTGAAAAAAGACGGTCGGTCGGGTGACCCGAAACAACGAATTGATTCTGGGTGGCCTAAGATTTATTCATGTCGATATTAATTTTGCGAGTCATTGCCACCCTATGGCTATGGAAAT